GGTGCTTAGTTGCTGGCTGGGGCTAAACCACAACAATTTGTCACAGGCCCTGGGCTCTCAGTGTTGTATGAGGGGCCCTTAGATGGACTACACATCCCTCGTGAGCCCTGCAGAAGGACACTACACCCCCATTAACAGCTCTGGCCAGAACATACACTAATGAGGTTATCTAAAAGTAAAAGCTAATTGAACCAATATCCTTCAGTCATCAGGTCAAGGTACAGCATAAATAGGGTTGGTACAGCCTCCGTGAAATGCGCTGTAAAGGTGTGTGATCTTTGATCAGGGCGAGGCACCACAGGAGAACAGCTCGTTGGACTGGGCGTCTGCTCACTCTTTGGACTTCCTTTGAAGCGTGCAATTAGCGGTGATGGCTGTTTCATGGTGGGAGATAGCTTTCAGCAAACAATCTGCCTGCGCTCTATTCACATCAGCACCTGAAGGTCAATAGTTACTTAGTCCAACTGTAGCGCCCCGAGTTGGCTTCCTTGCTAACGCTTTTTTATTTCCATTTCAGTTACACATTCAGGTGATCTCGTTATCTTGCGTGCTCCCCATATGGCAGGGATGCGCTGTACAGCAAAGACTTTGGACAGCGAATTAAAACTGTACTGAGTAGCGTGGCCATGTTTGTTTAATCTGAAAGCTTTTTTGGGAAATGTCCAACACCAAATAGTGGCCAGATCCAGTGATTCATTCCCATTACTCTTGTTTGTTTTCTACAGCTAGTCCTAGGGACGATAACCCTCTGCACTGAGACAGATGACAACTGCAGGATGAGCAACTTCCTTTGATGACTGCATCTGGCCCCTCTGTAAGTTACTATTTTCTACAGAAACCACACGTGCCAATTAAGTAACTAGACAGTACAGTACTATACTAATAGCATCTTGTGGTAGAGAAGTGTGGGGGGTAAGGGACATCAGACAGAGAAAGGCTGACACTGGGGCTATCAAATGCAAACCAAGCCAAATGAAAAACTCAACACGTCTCTTAGATAACCACAGATCTTGTATTGTTGGGATTAAGACCTTTAAGTACTATTGTAATAACAAAATTTAGTAATTAATAATTGCATGTAAGCTGCAGAAAGCAACCTTCTCTTCCAGAAAACTATTTACAAATAGACTACTTAACAGCCACCTGCAGTGAGAAAAGCATGTCTGTAGATTCTGATGATGCATTTCTAATGGTGGTTAGAACCATTAAAAAAATATTTGTGATGTTTTCTTCTAATCTATATTTGAAAACCTAACAAGCCAGTGAACATTTTAATTAAACATTTTAATTCATATGAAAGTTGGAAGTGATATAGTTCCGTGGAAAAGTACTAGACAGGGTGAGCAAAGATAAAAGATTGTTTAAAAAAAACCAAAACCAAAACTAACCCCAAGAACTGAATGGAGTAGGAGACAAAATGGAGAGAAGGAAGAAAGTTGTTAAATTATTTCAACGGCCTCTAAATTGTCCACGGAATAAAAAGTCATGGGTTTGCATAACACAGGACATGGAAGTCTTATTGTTCTCATAAAAGTCAGCTCACTAAATCCAGCCAATTAAATCTTTACTGTCTTCACTCTGATGTTTGCAGAACAAGGAAATAATATCTATATTGCTTTATAGATTTATGTTGAGTAGTTGGGGCGGGACATACAATAATTGCTCTGGTGTGCTCTACTTTGAAGAAAAAACACTCATATCTGCAGGAGATAGAATATTTTTAGAGACAGTCTGAGAACACACAAAATTGTCCCAAGAACTTTAACAATACTCAATCTTTTTTTTGAAGTGCAGAAAAATATTTTGATTTCTCACATTATGTCAAAATCCTCCCCACAAATCTATAGATTAAAAAAAAAAAAGGCCAGCTAACACAGCAAAACATTCTAATACCTTTGCTATTATGCTTCAACACAGGATGAGAGGAGCAACAACCTGTGACTGACGGCAGTCACGCTGCTTAATGTGCTACTGGAAGACACCACTGAAAAGCAGTTAAGTACAAAAATTACATAAAAGTGACTTAGCACTTATTTCCCTAATGTTGACAGATACTTAGGTCATAATATTTACAGATCATACAAGTGATTTACTGAAGACCAAACTCATTTAATTCACGCATCAACTCAGAGCACAGCACTTTTTGTTTTGTTTGACACAGTCCAGTAAAAATATGGAAATACAGAATAACTTACAGAAAATATTTAAAAATATTTCTCTATTAAAATACTAAAAACTTCTATCCCTCAGAGCACTGGATTTTTGTGGTTATATGCTAGCGAATCATCTTGTAATGTCATTCCTTAAAATGAAAGCTAAGAATGTATTCTGAAGTCTTGTAGTTCCTCTCTTAAACATAAATGCTGCTGAGTCATCCTTACTTGATAAACAAGTATTTACGCTGCATCTACACACAAGTATGGGATAAAACAACATTTTAACTTTGTTTTTTTTCCCCTCACTATCAATAGATCTGAAGAAAACATAAAGCTTCTGAAGCCAAGCTACCTTAAAATTTGCGAGACAGCTTTACTAACTTAAGTTTTGTCTTTGCTGCAGCAGAGTAACCTAAAGCACTTCACTATTACTCACTTATGAGGACTTTTTCCAACTAGCAGTTGTTTCACTTTTCCTTTCTTCCTCACAGAAAGCAATACGCATTCTGAACATCCATTGTACAAGCAACTGTATAATACACTGTGAAACTGCTTGGAAGGGGACACATACAGAAAACACCCACAAAAGACTGTTCTACCATTGGGTGCAGGTATTGCCTCATGAATTTACTAGGTGTCATTCTTTCCCTGGCCAGCCCATAAGGAAACACACAGATGCTTAAAGAGGAACTGTCTCTTCATAGAGTCATTCCTAATTTTAATCTGTTATTTTCTCTTCGTTAAAGCAGATGTCCCTAATAGCATGTATCTAGAAATGTTTAAAAATATTGATAACTGCGCAGTACATTTGAGCTTGCACATGCACCACCTTGCACAAAAAGAAATTAACATTATGCAATTAGTTTTAGATAATGTAAGTTTCCCAATTCTAGTAACTTTTTCTAAATTTAAACATGAACAATATTTAGTACAGCAGAAATTATCTCATTTCCAATTCCCTTTTAGCCATGTTTAATTCTCATGTTCTGCAGTCTCACATGTACACTTAAATAATCTATTGGACTCCTTGGTGGGTTAAGGTGAGCGCATGTGTAAGTTTTAGTATTAACAGCAGAACATTAGTTTTGACTTAAAATGTCATCACATCTAACATAGAAAATGAATGCAAGTATACTTTACGACCACATATGTTGCCATACAAAGACATCCTCTGGTTATGATTACTATTTGGTCTGTATACAGCATTGAAATACAGTATAGAGGGGGAGCAGACCAGGAATCCCAATTTAAAAGGGCTTTTGGGTAATCTCCATTTATGGAATTTACATGGAATGTTGTAAAAACTTGAAATGTTTTATTAAAAATATATAAAATTACAAAATTATGTATTTTGAGAAAACCAAAATTCTACAAAAAGTGTGAAGGCTTTTTCCACCTATAATTATCATCAGAATATTCAACATTTGACATCAAATGCCTACTGAAAATGAGTATTTAAGACAGATTTTTGGACTGTGTGGATGTTGTATGCCAACTTGTAAGGCAACAGGAAACTCCTCATCCAGAGTCCAAAAAATGTAGGGAGACCCTAAAAATGTAGCAGAAGCATTTCCGCACACTGATTTCAGTAGTCAAGTTTGTGCAGAAGTGATTCCACTAGATTCATAGGGTACCTTTTTGAGGCAACAGAAACTTGTCACTTCGTAAGCTTTCTGACATTTTCCAGCTCTTCTATAGGTTTCCATTTCTGATGGATTGTTAAAAGCTGGAAGAAAGTCAAAGCAAAATATGAAAGAAATTAGCAAAATCCCAGTGAGCATTTACTCCACTCCCACCCTTCCCCATAGCATACATCAACTTATTGGTGAAGAAGAGTTTCTAGTAGCTTTACATTTTCTTTTCAGAAATAAGCAAAAATAGCAACTGATGACATATTTAATAATTTGTTGAATAAAATCACTTGGATGGTAAAGAAGTAATAATGCCAAATAATTTTATTTTTCCTTATCCTAGATGCTACTACTAGTAAACTTTTCCTTCAGGCTGCAGTACTCAAAAACATTCTCAGTCAATTTTCTAATTCAGGAACAAGGCACGGGTAAACAGTATTTCCTCCATACTCCAAATTTCCACTGTTATCAATGGAATTGAGTAAATGGATGTTGGGGCCGGAGGGGGAACACCAACCAGAAGTATGCCATAAATTCAGGATCACATCTAAAATGTAATAGCTGAATCCCTATCATTAAGTAGTAGAGGGAAGATAACTTTACATAAAGTAATGAATTAAGCCGTTAGTTCCACTTTTAAACAGATGTATGTCAGCTTTACATTTGTTTCCTTGTTAATATTTTGCTGGTTCTCACACATTTAAATAAAGCTATTCATTGCATTGGAAATTCATGCTATTTGTATTGACTATATTATTTGTACAAATTACCTTCTGAGGCTTGGTAGGATCAACAGTTTCCCATGGTTCTGGATTGCCACTCTTGTTAACGCTTTAAGAGAAAATAAAGCAAAATCAGATACTATGTTTCAGGGTGTGATCTTGCACACATTTTTCTTACATGAGTAGTCTATCATCAGTAGAACTATTCACATAAGTAGTTCCCTGAAACACAAGTTTACAGGTTTGGGCATTTCTGTTTTACATTTGGGTAGGAATCAATGATGGCTTGGTTTCTTTGCAACTTCCAAAGCACCAAACAGGCCAACATTGTTCAAGCATAATGTGTTATCGTACGAGAAGCAAGCTGAAAAATCAAAACTGAATAAAGGCACAGAGACAAAGTAAGGGGATTCTTACCCTGACATCTGAAAAGCCTATTCCAATCACTTTAAAGTAAATAAAAAATTTCCCCAAAGCTTCAAGAGTATAGGACTTAGCTCCAATTATCAGCCAAGCCATAAGTTCATATTATCAAATGCTGTTCTTTATATTCAAGTCAACAGCATAGTTGCAACGTATGTGCATGTCTTCTACCTGTCTGATTATTTGAAACTTTGTAAGAACATTTAAAACCTACTACACCTAATGCAAAGAAAAAAATAAAATCTATTAAAAGTTAGGAAATAATTTGGACTACGCTCCGAATTAATTAGTTTCTTCGGTATTTACAATCTGCAGGTATCTTAGCCATTACTAGTAGTCTGGAACATCCACGTGGATTTTTTGGGGGTTTTTTGGTGCAAAACATGATGGTCAAATACCTCTGTCGAACAAGGAAAGTTAGGGTAAACTCCGAGCAATAAGTATTTTGCTTACATCACATCAGATTTGCTGAATAGGGAATAGGCAGAAAAAGAGAGCGCCCCGATAGCTGCAAAGGACACTACTCCAACCAGGGGAATGAGCTGAAAGACATAAAACGGAGAAAAAGAGTTTAAGAACTAGCGTCCTGGCTACAGAGCCACGAACAAGGGGAGCGAGAGTTACAAGGAATTAAGGTGCGATTACCTGTTAAAGGTACACTACTATTCACACCACCTCACTTTAAATACATGAATTTCATCTTACACGCACCCCTTGCTATGTTATGCAATGGCAACCCCCGTGCACCTGCTTGAGCCAGCCGCATCCCCTCGCCGAAGGGACGCGTTACCACAGAACGAACGCCTCTGGCAAACTTACTTCTTTTTTTGCTTTTAGTATCTGGAAGAAGCTCGCGTTCATCCTCGCTGCGGCTGCGGACCTGGAACAAACAGCTCCCTGTTACCGCACCCCGGGCCGGGACCCCCCCACCCCGGGGCTGCGAGAGCCCGGCCCCGGCAGAGAGGGCACGGCGGCCCCGTTACCTGGCCGAGCGGAGAAGG